TATTGTAGGTATCACTGGGAGGAATTGACCTCCAGGCCAATTGTCTGTGAGAATCAGCTGTGTGTGTGCAGTTGGAGAACTTCTGTGCTGAAGACACCCTTCTGGGGCATGACTTGCTTCAGTGGGGCTGTGGTGCTCACTGAGTCTGCCCCTTGAGTGTGTCCCTTATGGATTTGAGGAGTTGTAGTCTGGATGGTCCCACTCTGACCACTGGGGACACTGGCTCTTGGATCTCTAAGGAGGTGCTATTTTAGCCTCTGCAAGCTGCTATGGGGCCTTGGGCCTTCTTTGGGATGTTCTGGGTCTCTCTGACGCAGCTGCAGTTTGTTAGGTAATTTTAGATTGCAAAGGACCAGGCCATTCATATGCAAAAGCCTCTGCGCACAGCTTGGGTGGGGCGGAGTCTCAGGGAATCAACAGGGCGAAGCAAACAGCTATGGCTGATCCTCAGTCCTGCCCTAAGAGGCCCCCGGTCTCAGTGTCCCGTGGTAATCACTGCAAGCACCTCTGAGAGAAAGCCGCCCTCCATTTCTGCCCGCTGCCAGACAGTCCTGTTTCTCCCTGTATGAGTCTGGGTCCCCAGAGACTAACCTGGAACTGGAGTTCAGAGCAGGAGCGTGTGTCTCCCTCCCGATTGAAAAAGACAACCGCATCCTCAGTTGCCAGCCCTTTCTGCAAGCGCCTCAGTACCTCTGCACTGTACTGCCGCACCTCCTCTGAGCCTGAGTGTGCTTTTCTCTTTCTTTCTAGTTGTAGAATTTCCACTAAGCCAGCCTTCCTATGGTTCTGGATGATGTCTGTTTGGTCTTTTAGTTGTATTTTTGAAGTGGTTGTGCAAGGCAGCAATTTCTGGTGTTTACCTATGCCGCCATCTTGGTTTCTCGCAATCTACAGCTTTTTAATTGGTGCCACTGCAAATGCACATTTCAACACTAAGCTTGGACCTTGGGCCTCCTTATACTACTTTTACTTGATCCAGTCCCGTTTTTCATTCACTTCAGCACTTATGTCAAACCTCTGCCCCTCTGTTCTATCCACTGAACCAAACTGGCCAGGGCTCTTAGAACTTTTTATATCAGGAATTACTGTTGTGGGAATGATGGGGAAATACAATGCTTAGTATTTTTGTAAGTTAAAGAGATTATTGTTAAAGCAGTAAGAGTTTTGTGAAAATAAATTGCTTACAATGAAAAGGTATATAAATTAATGTAATTAATGTTATTTCAAAAATAGTTTTGAATTACTCACTACAGTATATTTGTCATCTTTTGGAACTGGATTTTTAGGTTATATATAAGAGTATCTTTGGGCCATACTTCTCCATAATTTATACTAATACTTAATACCTATATGCTTTTACAAAATAATTCTTATTTATCTATACAAGAACTTTTTATTATATAAACTTTTTCTCCTTCACCTTCATGATCTATATTTGACTTATGTGTTTCATATAATAGTTCAACCTGTAGGCTGTTTTTTGCTATCAGCTTTATTGGTTATAAGAAGATTTTTGTCTGTGTTTGTACATGAAAATACTCTTCTTTTTTTCCCCACTTAAACAATAAAATGCTGGGCAAGTTAGGAGCTTATCTTTTTGTTTGTTTTGTAACATTTATAAATCTAAGAGATTGGATTTTCAGATAGTATGTGTTTGGAGGCCCTCTTCCCCATATTGTTTGTCTAAGATGAAATAATCTAAATAAAATCATTCTGACTTATTTATTCTATTTAAAAAACACTGTGTTTACATTCAGAACTGCTATAGTCTAGGTTCTGCAGCTTGCTGGTCCATAGCTCTGTCAAATACCCCCCTTGATGTGCTCATTCTGAGTTTTTGTTTTGGACTTTGGTCTGATAATGTTTAAAATGAGTGCTTAGACTTGTTTTCACTGAGTGGAAGTTTCTTGATGGCACTTTTTCATAATCTTTCAACTGAACATTAACTCTCTGCCAAGAAGGATTCTGGCAAACGGCCTAGTGTATCTATCTGCCTTCTGGAGATATGACTGTATAACTATATTTAAAACTCTGCATAAAGGAACAGGTTTCACTTATTTTCATCTCATCTCATGTTTTTCAAATTCATTTTAGCAGGGATTCTTTTTAAGCGTTTTTCTATATATTATTTGTCAACATTACATTTGAACTAGTGTCCTGTTGACTTATTTCTGGACTGCTACTACTTGATGAAATACCAGTGTCCAGAAAGATTTCTAGTATGACTTTTTGCTTTTTTAGATTAAGGTAAGAAAGCAGGGACAAAAATATGTACCCATGTTTTTAACTTGTTATAATGCTTTTGGTTTTAAATGAAATTATTTAAGGGCTGTTGAAACTTAATTTTTAATACATTTTCATGGGATATATATTACATGATAATAAGAATACATATGTGTAACCCTTTCATTCCAATTTTATAAGTGAATCACGAAAAGCCATATTCTGTCTCTTAAATTTTAAACTGCAAACATAACCATTAGTGAGTTGAGAAATCATTTTTATGGAAAAGGATCAGCTTTTTAAAAAAATAAAATAGCCCAGCTGACATGGCTCAGTAATTGTCTACCTATGAACCAGGAGGTCATGGTTGGATTCCCAGTCAGAGCATATGCGTGGGTTTGCGGGCTTGTTCCCCAGTAGGGGGCGTGCAGGAGATAGCCAATGGATGATTCTCTCTCTTCATTGATGTTTCTATCTCTACCTCTCTCTTCTCTCTGAAATCAATAAAAATATATTTAAAAATAAATAAGTAAATAAAAATAAAATACAATTAGAACAAAATTTACAAATCTGAATGCATTGCAAATAAGATACAGTCTGTGTGTATGAATACTGGGTCACATAAACTTTGCTTTTCAGTAGTATTTACCTACTGGAGACAAATTGTCTGTGGCCTGAATATTTAGCAGATATTCTTTAAATAGCAAGAATAGTATTTTGGCAATGGAAGAATTCAAGAGTTTTGAGGAACGATACCAATAAATCAGTACAAGTCATCTGGATACCTTTATTAGAGACTTACAAAGTGAAAATCCAGATTTTAATCACTCTAGGGTTTCCCCCTTCCTTTATTTTAGGTAGAGATTGAGAACGTAAAATATAGAAAAACTGCCCTGGCCAGGTAGCTCAGTTGGTTAGAGAGCCACCCTGATTAGCCAAGGTTGTGGGTTTGATCCCCCAGTCAGGGTGCATACAAGAAACAATGCATAAATAAGTGGGACAACAAAGCAATGTTTATTTGTTTTCTCTCTCTCTTAAATCAATAGAAAAATTTTTAAGAAAAAGTAAAAAAATTTACATCATAAAAAAAGAAAATCCTTTTCTTTGGGAATAAATAAAAGCAGAAAAATATGGTGCTAAGCTAATTCTACTTATATTTTTAACTTAGCTATTTTTTATCTAAAATAATTTCAGCTTACACATACTGATTTGGTGGGGGAAATTATGTTTATTAAAGGAAAATATCTGCAATTTTTTATTCCATTTATAATAATATAAATTAGAATTTTTATTTTTAGTAATAGTTATCTAAGTTTAATATGCTAGAATTATTTCTCGTGTGCATACTTCATCTGGTAATTTAAAGATGGTTTATTTTCTATTAATTAGTTATTTTTAGATAATAAAGGAACAATCCATTAGTTTCCTGTTAAAACTTTTGTAAAAACTGAAAATATTGCTTTAGGGTATGTTTCTCACAAATGAAAGTTATTATGAGTTATGAAAAGGAAACTATTAAATACAAGAATATACTTTTAGCTAACTATTTAAATTCTAATTTAAATGTATATAATGTAAGTAGAATCTAATCTAAGGCAAAGCAAAATAGCACTTACCACTTTAAAAATCATTAAGCCATATTGTTATAGCATATTTATAAAATATAAGTTACCAGCTTTATTTATTGCTATTCTAAACTTGAATTTAGAAAAAGTAACAATTTTATCAAATTCTTAAAAATTTTAAATTCTTTATATTCTTCCATGTTTCTAATATATTCATTTTTACATTTTAGGATGGCTGTCTTCTGTGTATAAACAGCAGTGGCTTGCTATGCTTCGGGCAGAACAAGACAGTGAGGTGGGGTAAGTATGTTACATTATATCATTTCTCATTAGAAAAAAACTTTGGCTATATAAATTTAAGGGCATTCATTATATTGAAAAATCAGGTGCTGTTAAAGTAGAGCAAAGATCATGTAATCAGCTTTATTTCTTAAATAAATTCATGCACTTGGGGTGGGGAGGGGTCCCCTCAGCCCAGCCTGCGCCCTCACAGTTCAGGAGCCCTCAGGGGATGTCTGACTGACAGCTTAGGCCCGCTCCCCACAGAGGCTCCCGCCACCGCCCCTGTGCTCGCCAGCTGCAAACCCGGCTTCCAGCTGAGCGGCACTCCCGCCGTGGGAGCTCACTCACCATCAGGGGGCAACTCCTGCGTTGAGTGTCTGTCCTCTGGTGGTCAGTGAGCATCATAGTGACCGGTTGTTCCGCCATCAGGCTGAAACCGGCTCTCCGACATCCCCTAAGGGGTCCCAGATTGCAAAAGGGCACAGGCCAGGCCAAGGGACCCCACCAGTGCACAATCAGGGCCAGGAAGGGACTGTCGGAGGGCTCCAGGGCATGTCCAGCCTGTCTGGCTCAGTCCCAATCTGCCAGACCCCAGCAGCAAGCTAATCTACTGGTTGGGGCATCTGCCCCCTGGTGGTCAGTGCACATCATAGCGACTGGTCGACCAGTTGACTGTCAGTCCCCTGGGTCAGGGGATGTCTGACTGACAGCTTAGGCCCGCCAAGGGACCCCACCGGTGATTGGTTGAATAACCAACTGGACAACCAGACACTTAGCATGTTAGGCTTTTATTATATAGGCTAACATTATCAATCTTGTAAATATTTATTTTTCTGGTCAATTATAATAATGGAATGTTTGAATTGTCATTTGCTATATTAGTGAAATTGAGTAATTCATATACTTTGTTTTACCTAGTGTTATATTACAATTTTCTTTTAACATATTGAAATATTACTTGGAATAATCCTATATAATAAAAGCCTCGTATGCTAAGTATCCAGTCAGCCATTCAACCAATCAAAGCGTAATATGCTAATGATATGCAAAGGCCGCTCAACCGCTTGCTATGACATGCACTGATACCAGGGGGCAGACAGTCGACCAGTCGCTATGATGTGCACTGACCACCAGGGGAAAGATGCTTCGACTGGTAGGTGAGCTTCCTGCTGGAGTCTGGCTGATTGGGATTGAGTGAGATAGGCCAAACATGCCCTGGAGCCCTCCTGTGGTCCCTCCCCAGCTGGCCAACCTCCCACATCCCTCCCTGGCCCTGATCATGCACCGGTGGGGTCCCTTGGCCTGGTCTTCACCCTCTTGCAATCTGGGACTCCTTGGGATGTCGGAGAGCTGGTTTTGGCCTGATCCCACAGGCCAGGCTGAGGGACCCCACTGGTGCACAAATTCGTGCACTGAGCCTCTAGTGCTTTCATAAAGCATGATTTTTATGAAGAATTTGAGCCTAAAATTAATTAACATCCTCTGGTTACTTATTGCCTTACCCAAAAGCAAATGACCTTCTACATAAATATTTATGGGGAAGAAAATTATCTCTTCTTTCAATTCATAGTCTTTTGTGGTTTACAAAAGTATTTCCACATTTATTATTTGATCTTTATACTAGTTCCTTGGTATGAGCAGAGTGATGAGACAATCCATGTGTGAGTATATAAAAGAGGTCTTAAGAACTTTAATATTTTTGCCCCTGATCTCTTTTAACCATTTTTTTAAAGATTTTTTTTATTGGTTTTTAAAGAGAGGAAGGGAAAGGGAGAGAAACATCAATATGAGAGTGAGACATCAATGGGCTGCCTCCTGCATGCCCCCTACCAAGGATCGAGCCCAAAACCCAAGCCTGTGCCCTGATCGGGAATCAAACTAGCAACCTTTCAGTGCACAGGTTTCTGCCTTACCAACTGAGCCACACTGGCCGGGGCTAACCCATTTTTATATACCAAAGAACTTTCTAAAATAATGGCCTAGTTATGTTTATATCCAAATAATGAGTGTATGAAAGTTTTATACAAATTTATTATAATGATTGTGAGATTACCCAGAGTTCTTATTTCTACTTTATAGCCCATCTTTTTCCAAATATATTCACATAATATTTATCTTATACAAACATAACGTTGTTGAAACAAATAATAAATCAAAAACTAAAAAACAAAAGTTAATTCTCTAGAGGAATTCAGATTTTAAGCATTTTGGTAATGGAGGAAATACTTTATAAATCATTCTACTTCTTTTGTATATTCAGTTTTTAACTGTTGGATGTTCTTCATTTTTTAAAGATTTTTCTCATCTTTATACTTATTGAATTTAAAATAGAGTCTCACCGAAGGGATTGAGCTAGAATAGTGGTTTTCTTGCTCTCAGAAGCATATAATTAATTATATTGGCCCTAACGAAGCACTCTATCCACAGATACTGAACATCTGCTCATTCTACAGAGCTATTAAAATGAGGACTAGATTTAATCAATGAATTCTTATTTTTATCTGTGCCAAAAAACATTTTTAACAAGTTTTAAAACATTTATTTTTTTAACTAGTAACAAGTTTTTTCTTTTAAACACACAATTCTTTTTCAATTATTAGTTGCCTATTTCCTATGAGATTTCATGCTTTATGTATATTTCTAGGCCTCAAGAAATCAATAAAGAAGAACTAGAGGGAAACAGCATGAGGTGTGGTAGAAAGCTTGCCAAAGATGGTGAAGTAAGTGTCGGTTGTGACTCTTAATAATTCTCAGACAAATTGCTCTACTTTCAGTGCAAAATTCATTTTTTAGTTACAATCATACACCAGAAGAGCTTTTTTGATACAGTCTCTATAGCACGATCTCCTGGACAAGAAGTTACATGCTCAGTGGTGATTGATTATTTGGCCTTATATCAGTGTTGAAATTTTTGGGTCCAGAAAATAGATATGAGAAGAGGATCCCTGAGCAATATCAGAAATTAAGATAAATAAGCAAATATATGGGAGCTGTTACATAGTCGAAAAAGTAATTCTATTTTATAATTACCATCAAAGACATTCAAACCATTTAATTGCTAGAATGAAGAATTACATTTTTCATTACCACCCAATATAAATGTATAAAAGTGAAACAAAAGTATTATGAATCAATACTACTGCTGTGTCCAAAGATCCTATTTGCTATTTTATTTTTTTGTTTTGTTAATCCTTACCTGAGGATATTTTCCCCATTGATTTTTAGAGAGAGAGGAAGGGAAAGGGGAGAGAAAGATGTCGATGTGAGAGAGACACATCTATTGGTTGCCTTTCTCACACATCCTGACCCAGGGCCAGGGATGGAGCCTACAACTGATGTACATACCCTTGACCAGAATCGAATCCTCAACCCTTCAGTCAGCTAGGGCTCTATTTAATTTTTTTAAAAAGTGGATTGTCACTCATTAAATTTATAATCCACTAAAGGGACATGAACTACATTTTTAAAAACTCCACCCCCTTCAAAATCTCCATTTCAAGCATATCATTTTTAGACTTTATCTCCTTTATCTTTCTAGCACTCTCCCCTCTAGCACCTGACTCCAACAGCTTTTTTTTTTAACTCCATTGATTTTTAGAGAGATTGGAAAGGAGGGAGTGGTGGGGGGAGGGAGTGAAACATACATCTATGTGAGAGAGGCACATTTATTGGTTGCCGCCCGCATGCACCCCTACAGGGGCTGGAAATTGAACCTGCAACCCAGGTACATGCCCTTGACCAGGAATCAAACCCAGGACCCTTGAATGTGCAGGCCAGTGCTCTACCACTGAGCACACAGGCCAGGGCCTTTGGCTTGTATGCATAATATCCCTCTGTCAAACTCACCTGGCAAAACCCAATTCTTATTAAATACCAACTTTCCATAAACTCCATGCCTGCTCCCAAACAGATGAATGTGACTAAAGAAAAACACCATACCCCACCCAGCAGGGGTTTGTAACTACATTTCAAGCAGGTCTTGAGTGTTGCATGGTGATCCTTCTAAAGTTCCCTGAGTGAATGTATCCTCCCACTCTGATAACTCTACCTTCTCAAAGGGGCAGTGCTGCTACCCTCATTCTTATTGATGGCCTTGCTTCTTTCTTCATTTGGAAAATAAAAGTAAGAGAATTTGTACATCCTGCTACCAATAATCCTACCACACTAGCTGCATCTGTAGCTATGTGCTGCACTTTTCCTCTTATTAGAATAGATGAACCATTTGCTTCTATCCTAGTCCATCCCCTCCTGGACTCCGTCTCTTCTCACCTGTTCAGAAGTTTTATTCCTGCAGTTATCAGTTATTCCTCCCTCTCCTGCATCATCAGTTTTTCTCTTCTACTGGATCGGTCTCATTTAGCATATAACATGCTGCAGCATTACCCAGCTTAAACCATGTCCCGACCCCACATTCCCCTCTAACTGCCACTTTGTTTCTCTGCAGCCCTTGGAAGCAAAACTCTTTGAAAAAAGTTGACTGTGTTTGTTGTCTATAATTCCTGTTTTCTAATGTTCTTTTGAATCCACTCCAATTCATTTACTTCCGTGAACTCCAGTGAAGAGCTATTGTGACATTGCTACCAATGATTTCCACATTGCTAAGTCAAGTAGTTTAGTTTTTAGTTTCAGAAAGCTCTTGGCAGTGTGACACATCTGTTTACTTCTTCTTGGGGATATTCTTCATTTGACTTCCAGGACTGCATACTTTGCTGGTTTTCTTCCTACTTCATTGGCTGCTCGTTCTGCGTCTTTGCTAGATTCTTTTCCTCTTTCTCAACAAGTGTTGGTGTGACTAACAACTCAGTACTTGGACTTCTTCCCTATCTGTGCTCACCCCTAAGTGATTTCACCTTGTCCCATGTCTTTACTCTGATGACTTCTAACTCCAGATTCATATAGCTACTTGCTTGACATCTTTCTTAGAATCCTAATAGCATCTCAAATATCCCAAGAGTCCCAAGCTGAATTCTTTGACTTCATCCCCAAGCTCCCTCCTTCCCAAATAGCCTCCAACCCGTAACTGGCTCCTCTGTTCATATTGCATAAGCTCCAAACTTTGGATTCTTCCTTCTTTCATACCGCACCTGTTATTCATCAGAAATTCCTCTAGGCTCTACCTTCAAAATATATTTTTCACATGTTTACGACTATCACCCAAGTCCAAGCCACCATTATCTCTTGTCTGGGCTGTATGGTAGCCTCATAACTGCTCTCCTTGTGTTTTACTCTTGTTCTTCTACATTCTATACTCCATACAACAATGAAAGTCATCTTTTTAAAGTCCAAGTTAGATCATTTCACTTCCTTCCTTAAACTTTTCCATTAGCTCCATACCACACTTAGAAGAAATCCAAACTCTTCCTTATCATGATCTACTAGGCCCTACATTTTCTGGCTCCTGGCTAACTCTCTGAACTCATCTCCAGCTTTTGTCCCCCTCAGTTATTGCCCTAGCCACATCACCATTCTTCCCATTCCCAGATAAGCC